AGTGGCACAATAAATTGGTTTAAAGAACAAGCAGTTCGAAGTGTATAATGATGGTATGTACAACTGCAATAACTGGCTATCAGCTGTGTATGACAATGACTATCGAAATTATTTGTTTTACAGCTTTTCGTTTATATATGTCGGAGTTGACTTTAAAATTCAGTTGCCTTTAAAAGACAACTAAATTTTAAAGTCAATGTCGACATATATGTGAATATAAAACATTAAGGTTTCAAAATAAAAATTAGTTTAATTTTTCTAATGTTTTTTTTGCTTATCGATGTTTTTCAAGGTGTACATATGTTTTTTTTATTTCATTTGCAATATTCAATGTGTGCAGATCACTGATGCATGTCGTTTCGTTCGGCAGTTTCGTAGTTTTCGACGTTCTGTGCTCATCTTGTGTAGATTCATTATTGGTAGTGTGTGTAATTGGAAAAAAGAGACAAAGTAAAGAACGATAAGAAGTGTTTTTATTTTGCCTCGTTGCAAAGGTAAAAAAACAAACTATTCGACTAAATAAGTAAACAGTATATCTGCACATCACCAAACCAAATCGATAGGTTAGTGACAGAAAATTATCTTCATAAATTGGGTTTTGTTCATTTTGTTGTTGTGAGTAAGTTATTAGAATAATACCAAAAGCAAAAATAAATCTATTTAATATCCCACACGGTCTCAGATTTAAAATCTACGATCGTAAAAAACGTTCGTATACGATCATATTTGCGTCGTGTATTTTTCTCGTATATAACACGATAGCTTGCTAATGTTATACGCTTCACTTCTTTGTAGAAATTATTTTTTTTTATTTCTATTTTATATATTGACTTGATCGATTATATTGTTGTCTATTCAGTATAATATTTGAAATAAATACATATTATCATAATGCAATATCACTTCAAATCATAGTAGAATGCCTAATATTTCTTAAGTTGCCATAGACAACACTGATCATACAAAATCAATAATACACAATTACGTCTATAATAACTTATACCACCGCATTTTGTGATTTGTACGATGCTTTATAACCATCCTGGTGCTTGTCTTAAGCGGTGCAATAAGCATTAATTCAGAAAAATTTTCCTTTAACCTTTAGTTTTAGATTAATTACAATCACAACTCTAACAGTAACTATGCATTTATTTAAATAAATTCTATTTTTATTTTTAGATCATCTATAAAAATAAATGGAACAGAATATAATTATTTTCTAAAATAATGTTTATGTTTTGCTGTAGACTAACTACAACAAAAAGGTCAATCTGTAAGTATCGATTTATTTGGATAAATTTTGTATTTTTAGTTTTAAATTATCTATAACGAATAGTTGACCAGTAAGAATTTTACTTATTTAAAGGAAATTTTTTTTTCAAATAAATAATTACTTATTATAAGATTTATCATTATCGATTATCTAAAAATAAAGAATAAAATTCATTCAAATGAATCAAAAGTTACCGTTTGATTTGAGGTTGTGGTTAAACTTTAAAGAAAAGAATTTTTTTTAAATCAATAATTAGTTGCGTTTGGATTTATATTAATGGATAATCTGAAAAGAAAAAAAAATTTATCCAAATAAATCAAACAACAATTATTGGTTTCTTTAGATGAATTTTGTTTTTTCTGTTTTTAGATCGTTCATAAATATGAATCGAACAACAAGTAATCATTTATGTAAAAAAATATTTTTTTTTAAGACTAACCACAAGGACAAATCAAACAGCTGGTATTGATTTATTTGGATAAATTTTGTTTTTTCATTTTTAGATTACCTATATATATATAACTCGACCAGCAAGTAACTATTGATTTTAAGAACAAGTTATGTTTGTTTTTTAGATTAACCGCAACGACAGATCAAACTGGAAGTGTTGGTTTTTTTTTGAATAAATTTTATTCTTTAGTTTTAGATTATCTATAATAATAAGTCTCGTAGTAAGTAATTATATATTTTTAAAAAATTTATCTTTTGTTTTAGATTAAGTTTAACGACAAATCAAACATCAAGTATTAATTTATTAAGGTAAATTTATTTTTTAGATTATACATAAAGATAAGTGGAATAGTGCGTAATTCTTTATTCAGAGAAATTTATCTTTTATTAGGTTAATTAGAACGGTCAATGATACGAAGAGTGTTAGTTTAAATAAGTGTGACTGTCCAGTCTGACTGAACGTTCCAATTCTTGTTGTCTCAATCAGTTTTGATGATTGATCAGAAAAATGTCACGGCTTTGAGTATATTCTAACGCATGAAACCATGATATTTTTCTGATGTATCATCGAAACTGAATGAGACAACAAAAACTGGAACGTGCGGTCAGACTAGGAATCTCAAATATCAGATACTGAATTTTCTGGAGAGTTGTGAGGAGGTTGAGGGTAGCTAGAAAGAGTTTATGTGCAATACGATGACAAACAACATTGTATACAACCATGTACGACCGTTTACAGTGGTCGCATTGCGGCGTATGCGACTCAACAATATACGATCGTAATTCTGACTACAAGTAATACGACCGCACATGATCGTCTACGACGCCGTGTACGATCGTTTACGACTGTCGTAATGGTCATTTTGAGGCGTCAATATGATCTGCATATCAGACACAGTTGTGACACTTGTATGAAATCGGCTCTAAGGATTGGCTATTCATTTGAAACAGCGATTCCTAGATGCTTATGAGTTACTAATCCCCTTCATTCACTCTACTGTCTCCATCTCATAGTTATTTATTATTTTGATTAGTCTGAACTCATTGACGACTCATGCAGAACTCATTTTTTATTAGACGCAGAAACTACGAAATGATTTTCGTTTTGCATTAAGAAAACAAAGGTGAAGTTATCACCATATTCAAGTATTTTTACTCAGAATTTGTCCAGGGACTCGTTTCAACTGTTCAATTCTTCTTTCAAGTATAATTCGACTAGCTCTATCAATTGGTATGATTAGATTTTCCAGAGCTCAAAGCGATCAGCTGAAAAATCGACTTTTCGATTTCCACTGTATGGGTTACAGGTACCCACAAAAGTAATTTCATCCCGGATTTGTTCAGAGACTTTTCCAACTGTCCTATTCTTGTTTTTAGTAGAACTCGACGATTTCTATCGACTAGTATGATCAGATTTTCCCTAACTCAAACAGGTTGTCTGGAAAAGCAATTTTTCTGTTTTACTCTAAGGAGATCGAGGTACTATGAAAAGTAGTCTCACGTCAGATTCGCCCAGGAAGTTGTTCCAAGAATATTTCGACGAGCTCTATCAGTTGGGATAACCAGATATTCTGTAGCTGAAACAGGCCGCCTGAAAAATTGATTTCTTCTATCCCCAGTCCTGCGACGAAAATAAGCGAAAAATCGATTTCTCAGCCGACCTGTTTCAGCAATGAAAAATATAGTATACCAATCGATGGAGCTCGTCGGTTTTTGCTTGAAACAAGCATTAAAGATTGGGAACAAGCTCCTGGATGAGTCTAGACTGGAATTACTTTTCAGGCTAATCGAATACCAAGGGCAAAAAATGGAAAAATCGATTTTTCAGGCGATCTGTTTGAGTTATAGGAAATCTAACTGTACCAATCGATAGAGCTCAATGAATTCGACTTAGAACAAGAACAGAAGTTTTGGAACAAGTTCCTGGATGAATGTGAGTGTGGTTGTATTTCAGAGTTATCTGATACAATGGAAAAAAATGGCAAATCGTTTTCTCAGGCGACCTGTTTTAGCTATGGAAAATGAGATTATACCAATGGATAGAGCTCATCGAGTGCTACTTGAAACAAGAACACGACAGTTGTAACAAACTCCTCGGCGAATTCGGGATGGAAATACTTGAGTCTAGTGATAACTTTACTTATGTATTAAGAAAAGACTTGCTAGTGCAGTCCTCTTTTGGAGCTGAAATGTGGAACTACCGGGTGTCCCAAAAGTCATGATCATTTAACAAATGCATATCTCAATTTCTAATGGTTATTATGAATTTTAAATCATCAACATCTCTCACCATTCCTTTATTAGCATTTTCTTTGCCATTTTTTTAAAGATCAGCTGACTAGAACAATTCTCGAAAGCAGATTGTTCCTAGCATAGCAAAAAACTCGATAATCAGTGAAGTGAGGATATTGGGCAATCTCATCATTCTTGGTGTCATTCGAATTGACATAGTTGCATTTTTTTTCGTTAGAAAATATGAAAACAAATGCTAATAAAGGAATAGTGAGAGATATTGATAATTTAAAATTCATAATAACCATAAAAATTGAGATAAATATATGAAAAATTTAAGTATTGTTTTCTGGCATTGAAGAAATGAGAAATTTTTCTTTAAAAAAGGAAACTTACTACTTTCTTCTATCAGCTAAAAAAAATTGTTGAACAAAACTTGATCAGTAAAGAAATTATATGCATTTGTTAAATGATTATGACTTTTGGAACATCCGGTACATAAAGTGGAAAAGCTCTGACAAACTATAGTTCTTTTGCAGGATAACCGACCATCAGAGTAATGACTTCTATAATTTCTGCATTTCAAATAGAAACTTTTAATTTTTTGCTATGGATGTCCTATTTTTTGTTTGCATTATACCTTTAAGCTCATTATTTTTAATATTTTTAAATACGATTTTCGTAGTTTAAGATTCTTATCATTAAAATGACTGAATTAATTGACAAATAAGTCTAGTTTACATATCAACGATATCTGTATCAGCTCTTATGCATCATTGTATATATTAATCAGCTCACAAACAATGATAATCACTATATTTCAAACCGATAACTTGATCAGTTTTGCAAAAATAAACTCGAGAAAGTCTGATGCATGTTATTCTCGATTGCTAAAATCTGTAATGAGCGGATATATGGATGTGTGAGAAAGTAGAAGATCCACCCCTCACATCGCACCGACAACCTCACATCTACACCCACATCCACGTCCACTCATAAACGTGATTGATCATGAACATTTGTTTTGTAGTGTAAACGTACAAAAATGTCACGAGAATCAAGCTCGTCACCCGAATCAAGCTCGTCATCCCGATCAACAAAAGATATACTCAAAGACCTATGCACTTATACTGTATCGTCAGCTGATCCAGGGGATCGTTTACCACACGACTGTTATATGATCATGGTTGGTCATTTGAAGAGTCAAGAGCACATGAAGATGTTGTTGGACATGAGTGAATCACAAGGAATATCGTCGACGAAAGAAGGAGATGAAGATCAAGCAGAATATGCAGTATTGAAATCCGAAAATGTTGAATCAATTTTGGAGCACATCAAATTAACAGGAAAGACTGAACAGCTTGAAAGCCAGCGTAAAAGTCATTTCGTCTATGAAGATAATTTTAATTCTTCTCTGACTACTATGATGGAAACACGATCATCATTCGAGAAACTTAAAAAGGTTTGTCGTATATATGAACACCGCGAAGGAGTTAATGTGGATAAAGTGATGGCTGAACATGAGAACCGTGCGAATGCGTCACACTCGTATTTTTGTGAAAGAAAAGTGCCACCTGACGAAGCCAAAGCTTTAGCATTCTCCATTGCCTTCTATACGGGTTCGAAGAGTGAAGCATGTAATCGTGGTGCCAGTCTTATCGCTCGCAAAAGTAATGGGCAAGTCCTTGAAGGTGACGTAGAAAACGAAATAAACGAAGCAGCTATTATTCTTTATTATTTGGTGAAAGCACTTTCATACATCCCTTTTTACTGGGGATATGTTACTCGAGCTTGTCAGCTTACATACGATGAATTGAAACTCTACGTACCTGGCGCTTTAATCACTTGGATCCAGTTTAGTAGTTCAAAAAAAGGTAAAAAAGCAGTTAATTCGAAAGCTTTTAAAGATCGAAATGTACTTTTTAAAATCTTCTCGTTAACTGGTCGTCCCATCAAACATTTTTCTAATTATCCGGAAGAAGATGAAATTTTATTTCTGCCCCATTCTACCTTTCTTGTTTTCAACCACAAAACGTATTATAAAGAGAGAAAACAAGTAATCTACATGCGACAAGTCGAACTGGGTTTATGCACATGGTCCGTGTTGTGGGTTGATGACCGCATATTTGATGAAAATTGGGAGAATAAACAACACATGGAATATGCAGCAATCAATGCACTTGATATAAATGTGCATTTTATTCCGAAATCGTCCACTGATAGTGCTCTATCCTTTTTACGATCTGCATTTGGACAGCGTTTGAAAAATCAGGACACATTCCGCATTGTAACTGATATGAATCGTACAAATGAAAAACCCGCTCATAATGCAGGTGCACGACTAATCAAAGCAATACGACAGATGGGTTTCAGTAATAAATGTTTGATTTTTACTAGTGACAAAAGAACAGCAGAACAAATTCTTCAATCAGAATTAAACTCAACAGAACGACAATCAGTTTCGGTGTCTACGAAAACCAATGATTTACGGAATTTCGTAAATTTTGATCGAAGACCAACATCATCACAGCGATTATACGCTGAAGATTCAAACCACAACAAAAAATTTGGAAGCTCAGCGCATTCGAGTAAGTTGAAGACATGTATAGACTTCACAAATATAGTACGAAGGTATAAGAAAAGATGTGGGTGTTCCCTTTATCCACACTCAAAGCCACATGCTTTTCCAGTTCCAAATGTATCAGTCCTTTCTTACTTTCTATCTTTGAATGATTGTAGAAGATTATACAAACCCGTATAAATCAAGCACTGCTACTGCAGAAGTGTATCAAGGTGCAGTCGGTGGTGAGCATTCAAAAACGTTCATCAACACGAACAGTCAGATGATGCACAACGTCAATAATATAGACATTAACATTCTGATAAGAAATTGTACCAATCGAAATTTGGCCAATAATCGTCATAAGTGAGTATTCCGTGTGAAATAGAACATAAAACACAATTGTAAAAAAACAAAAAGTCTTTTTTCAGGCGAAGCAATATCAGATCTGAATCAATAAGGAGGAATGGGTTTATAGATGGAAGAATTCAAACGAGGTTTTCGTGCGTTTCTACTAAAAGGAAAAAAATATTTAGTATTGAATTTAGAAAAATTGTAGAACTCGAATGTCTTTCTCCCCCTATTTCATCGTCTACGATTTAAAATAGTTTTTGTGCATATAGTAATTTAATTTTGAGCGTCATGAAGTGCAGTGACTTTTTTAGTGATCCAATGGTGCTTAGTAATATCTGATATAGATATAAATATGGTAGCATACAAAAAAGATTTCACAAGTGCTGATAGAGAAGATACGGATATACAGAGAGATTCAGAGTTGTGGATGGCGATATTAGCCATCTACTTAAAGGATTTTTATAGCTATACTTTGTTCTTTGTCTACTGAACCATAAAATCATATAGGTCATTATTCTAGAGGACGTTCAATATACAGGTATAATGTCTTAAATCACTATTTTGTGTCACAAAGTTTTAGCATTTGTCCTTCCTTCCACTCCTCCAAAAGAAACACTGCATTTTCAGTACTCAGTTTTATGCTTATTACTGTTTGTGTAGTTGTGTTTTGTTCACTACTGGCTCTTTCAATCCTATTCATTCATTACATTTTCGAAACCTTCTACATGTCAAAGAATTTCTTGAACATGCACATCAACCTCCGTGGGCCGTTCTTGCAGGATATCTCTCGCCGACACAGTATGTAGTTTTTAATTTGTTTCTCTTTCAATAGAAGTATATATATATATAATACCTATTTGTTAAAGTGATTCGTATGTACATTCCAAATTGGGCGATCCTGCATGGATTCCAGCTGCAGATCGATGTCGACTTTGTGAAAAAGCTATCGAGTATGAAGGTTCAGCAGTATCATCTTGGATTGGCGTTTCTCGAGGTGAAAGTGAATGGGTTAATGGATTTGTTGACTTTGGTCCTGTTACTGAATATCTACGAGACTTTCTAAATAGCACACTTGTCGATCAAAACAAGATTCTGAAATATCCATTGCGTGTAGTATATGTCTGCGGATTGGATCATTTTAATAGATGTCCTTATGTTCAAACCATGGCAGCACAAAATAATATGTCTGTTGCTGTTGTCTACCGTGTGGGCTGCGACGAACAGCACATTGTTCATTCAGTAAAAACATCAGGTGTCTTCTACATTCCGTTAACAATAGAACGCACCAAACTCGCCGATGTCAGTTCGACACAAATTCGCCAATACTTTCAAAATCCGACCGCCAACAACACTAGTATTGAGCGAAATATTTATCCCAGCGTTCATAAATATATGAGTAAAAAGTACAAAAAAAAATAATCCGCAATTCTTATATTTTCATCTTATCTTCAACAGACAGACACTGGAGCTTCCATTAATTATGTGTGTTGATGAGTGGCTGAAATTTTAAGAATTTTTTTAAAAAGGCTTGAAAAAAATTTTACCTCTAATGTATTCGATCCAAAAACAAAATCTTTTATTTAAGAATATTGAAAAAGATACAATTATGAAACAGATCCGAAAATCAATCATTGCACACGATTATATTAGTTGACAAAAGATATGCGATGATTGTGTGATACTTGCGAGGAAGACATATCAATCAGTAAATAAGATAGAGATATGAGTTCCTAAATCATTAGATTCGTCTCGAGAATGTGATACAAACAGATGATTCGCATCGAAGATCAGCTTCAAATATTGTTTGTATGCGCATATTCATCATGTCATAAGCACTATTTCGATGTAAAAAAAAGTTGGAATTAGAGCCTTCAATTTATTATTCAGAATTGGGCTTTTAGCTATGCAAATTATTGTATAAGAGTGCAGAAATATAGTGAAATATAATCCTACAATCTTCTATGTTCATACAAGACCATATGGTTAAATCTTATACTTAGATTAAAGTAAGTTCTGATGGTTAAATTGTAGAGATGACGATATGGTGTACGGATTTTGCATGAATGTTGAGTGTGGATTTCTTTTTGTCCACACGCACCTCCTTTTTCTATGTCATCCGTGAGTTATGCCTTTATATTCATAGTGTACGTTATCAATGTTTTACATCTTTCACCATATACTTTCTGCGCTAGCACTTTCTTGAGACCAATTGATATAGTTTTTATCTTGGTTGACAGATACAACGTCAACATATTTTTTTTCTCTCCCAGCTTTATCTTTGAGATTGTTAATAATAGACATGCTTGTTGATTCGTACATTCGTAAAGAAACGTCTAGTGTCTAAACTAATATGTCAAATGCATACTTATTGATCAAACGCCTATTGGATTATTGACAATTGCAAGACAGCAAAGCAAGACAATAGAGGCTGTTTTAATGTATCTACGATTCGAGGTTTTAAGAGTATGACGACATATCATTATCAAAACATGCAGATGATTTTTTCAATAATGTTGACGATATAATAAATGTGTTTCTCTCTTACTATACAAGAACAAGCGAAATCTGACACCCTAGCTGTACAACCAAAAAGAAATTGGTCTCTCTCTCGCACTCGCTCCACCGATCAACGTGTATATAAAGTCAGAGTACGACTATAGAACCATACACATTACAATAGAATATGTTGTAGTCTTTGTATTAAATGTACGTTTACCTTTTTTGTGGAACTCACGTATATTTTCGAAGCCGAGGTCAATCATTTTGATCGTTGAAAATGGCGTCTTATCTGGCCTGAAATGGCTATAAAACGGCGAATTACTGCATTAATTTTGACCCCATTTCGCCGTAAACTGTCATACAGAATTACGAGTCATTTTTCTCGCTAGAAAACGACCATCGTTTTTCACCGATTTTGCTTCCGTAATCTGGTATGACGAATTACAGCGCCATTTTTCGACATTGTACGTCGTTAATATGTCGTTTAAGGCCGTTTACGACGCCGTTTTGTTGGACCTGGGAGCAAATAGTGAGTGTCAGCTTTAAGTTCAAGTTTTTGCGACTCCTCCTTCCCATTACAGACACATAACAACGTAAGCCTCCATTACCGACAGGCCACCATTACAGACCTCAGCAACCGCACACAATAGGCTTCAGATTTATTTCATAATAAAAAAAAGCTCCTTGAACAGTATGAAGAATATGAGTTCGACTGCTGTACTATATTTCAATGTTTTCATAATTATTTGAAAAAAATTATTTTTCAGTTTACAAATGATGCATTAGGATAACAAGTTTGAAGGATGTACGTGAGTTCCACATTTCACCTTCATAGGAGCTGCGCTAACAAGCTTGTTTTTCTAGATTATTTTTTGATTAGTTATCAGTTGAGAAAATGCTGAGAAATCGCTTGATGATCGAGATCAAACGAACTTAATATTGCTAGATCTTCTTTAGAAAAAATAACAAATGCGTTAAAGAATGGATTTGCACCATGTTTTCAAAAGGTGTCGCATAATACGACACAGGTGGTACGTTTTATTTTGATACCTACAATTTACATCTTTGCTCATATTTATCTATTGTTCTCTTCTTTAACGTCGAGCAGCAACGCACGACAATGAAAAAGACAAGCCATCTGTTTTATTTAGTGATTCTTTCAGTTTTGGTAAAAAGAAGTCGCATGGCACAAGTGGTGACAGTTTAAGATGTAGACGGCAAAAGTTTTTGGTTAATTTATTCTAGATAGTAGAAAAGTCTAGTTAGAAGATGAAAATTTTGAAATAGAATGATCATCAAACATGAATCATATTTTTAAAGCTACAGGATATTCATTCAAGCAAATTTCCTCGTGAGTACATAAACTGATCAATAAAACCTTGACGTCAAATGTTTCTAGTAAATGTCAAACAATCCTGTTTTTCTATGTCTCCATGGTTTCTGATCAGCCATGTATGTAATACAAAGTTTCAAGCTAGATCATCAGATGTCCTTTTGTTTTCTTCTTCCTTTCTTCTTATTTTTTCTTTCAATTAATGTTTCTTTTTAGTATCACTTTTTGCTAGTTGTTGTTCATCTAGCTAACAGATTAATAGAGAGAATGACGAGACGTCAACATCCACATTTATACAAGAGAAAAAAATCTATGAAGTAAACCAATAAATTTATTTCTTATTATAAGCTTATGTTTTTTTTCTAGATTACAATATTGATTATTAAGTTAATCATGACATTAATATAATTTTACTGAATGGGTGACGATCTGTTCATTTGTCTTGAATCATGTTAGGCTACCAATATTAGTGGTGCTCTTGTTGGTAACGGTTCTTATGATCTTGAATGTATAAATCAATGTACAGAACGCCATACTACATTATACCATAATACAGCAGAGATATAAATTAATAAAAAAAAAGTACTGATCAGAATTTCTATTAGAGATAGAATTCTCATACAATTCTTATGGAAATATTAAAAAGCGTTTTCTATTTTTTTCTTTCAAATTTAATTATGATATAAAAGAAGTTGATATTTACTCAATAGCAAAATATCACACACGTTTGAATGAATTTACAGACAAACTATATTCTCATATTTTATTAGAATAAACGAAAAAAGTATAATATATGCAATAGACAACCTTTTATCGCAAAACAGAGTCTTTAAATTAAGAGAAAACAATAGACTAAAGAATTTTTAATATGTTAAGAAAGATTTTGAGTCTTTCGATTAATATTTGATTTAGTTTATGTTGAAAATAACAATCATGAATCTTTTTATTGCTATTAGATACGCACATATCTTACAAAAGATGAACAATTAAATATATCTCAATTAATATGTCTATTATCACATATAAGTGATATATTTGTATCTTGGTCAATTGGTTTTGTTATTCTCGCTTGTACTATACATCTTGTTACAATAGTAAATTCAAAACGCTTTCCACAACCAACGCGTTGTCGAGTATTTGGACTTATATTACTAATGATACTATGTAGTTTAATATATAATTGGCATATTTTTTATTATCCAAATTTAGTTAAAACAACACTTATTAATAATGAAAATTGGTCATTTACTTATTGTAATATTTTATTTGGTCGACACATGGGTTATTTTTCATATGGTGGTTGTCAAGCTATACGAGACTTCTTATAGAATGCTCCATTAGTTAATTTTATTGTTTCATCATTAATAACATTTACAATAGTTGCAATAACAAATATTATTATTATTATTGTATATGTGTTAAAAGTACCACAAAAAACTATAGCAGGCATTGATTTACATCTTCATGATACATTATTATTAAAAGATGTTCAACCTTCTGAGCCATCAGATTCATCATTTAACAATATGCCAATACAAATAACAAAAAAAGATGTTAATTATGAAACAACGATAATATTAACTACAAATTGTCTTTTTTTGATAACAAATAGTATTGCAATTATTTATATTTATGTTAAATCAAGTCATCGCTTACGTTTAACAAAAGATTTGAAAACCTTCAATGTGTATCGACTTTTACGTATGTTAACATTATTCGGTATAGTTTTAGAATTTTATATTTATTTTTTAACTGGAAAAAAATTTCATAAAGAAGTTTATCATATTTTACGTGCAATACTTAAACATACAACATTAAGAAATTATTTTAAATGTACATGTTTATCAGTATCAGATCGAACAACAAATATATCCAATTGATGGTAATGAACTTGAATAATGTTACTACTAATAATAATCAAATACTAAATAATAAAAATATTTCGACAACATCAACAATAACAGCAATATTGATTCACCATAATGAAAAAAAGTACTGTGTGACATATATATTTGTGATTGATTAGAATATCGATAAGAAAAAGAAACAAAGAAAGATTTTCAATTAAAATTATTGCTAAATGAATATACTGAAAATAATATTAAAAAATTTTGTAGCAACCTATATAAACATCAGATTCAACAAAGTAATTGTTCGGACTTGAATGTAGTTAAGTGAACTTAGGTATGGTCTGTATTTGATTTAATATCATATAAAAAAAACTTTAAAATGTACCTGATGCAACATCCAAGACAACAGTATTCAAATTCAACATACTAACTAAAGGAAAATAAACCGACCGTGTTAGATCCGAAGTATGTTGAAGAATACCAATGTATGACATTGCTTCACTTGTACTTGATCTTTTAAAGACTAAATTTTCTCAAAGAAGTTAAATTAACTTTTTTGAAAAGCATAACGCTGTAGATTGACTTGAAAATGCAGTTGTCTTATATATAAGTATCTGGATGACAACACTACGCTAATTATATGCTTTCAGTAACTGTTTGTTTCTTCTTTTCTTGGTTCTCTTGCTCTTGTATATAATTGGTTGAATAATAAATTACAGTTACAGTCGATTTTCAATGAATCAAAGGTACTAATTAGTTATTTATAGCTTGCAAATAAAAGATATCAGCGTAAAGCTCTCCATAAATATGACTTTTCACGTTCAATTTAGAAACACTCACATGTATTGTTTCTGGTAAATTTCTCACTTAGGTGCTCAGACAAAATATTATTGGATTAAAGATCTGAAACTTTCTAAGAAAGTCTCGAGAAATACCAAGTTAATAATGTTTTGACAAAAGCAAAACTTAAATTCTATTAACCATGTAGACATGAGAAAATAATATTATTCAGATATGCTATTTCTTCATCCAACAATGGTCCTTGCAGCGTCAATGCAGAATTCGAAGACAAGTGTCCATCAAAATCAAGCATATGGATATATGTCACGAGAGAAAAAGCCAGAGAGAGAAAGTTCTATTCAAGTTTATAGGAATGGCTAACGTTCGACTCATTCCTGTCGAAATAAGCACCCATATCGAGCCTATCGAATGTCGTTTGCTGCTCATAAATAGCTTTGATTTCGGGTTCAGTTAGATGGAATGAATAGAAACGTATATCGGCCAAACGGCATACATTTTGCGAATTTCGAGACCTGTAACGGATAATATGCCATGGGAAAGACTTACAAGATGTTGAAGTATTTTGCATTTGGCTCACCAATCTCTCCGTTTGACATTTCTGACCGTCTAACCAAAATGAGAAAATCGACTGGTATCCATTTTCGTCCAATTTATTATTAAGAGTTATATGAACCCATGTCTTTTCTAGTGTCTCACCATTGGGATGTGTCCAATAATAGACGATACCATCCAACGCTATGAGTTGGCGTGGGTCGCCCCAGAAAAAACATCCAACTTGTGCTGCTTTCGTGCAATTTTCAGGTAAGTTGATAACTAGATAGTCACGGTGATCCGGCACCCAAACCCAGAAGGCAACTGAAAAGGAGGACAAGTCGGTTTTGTTTTTTCGATTTAGAACATACCAATTGTCATGTCGAGCAAGTAACGAGAGGGAACCATCGAAATATTTCGGCAAAAGGTGCTTTTCATGTTCGAGTGCTGCAGAGTGAGTTTCGCGAATACAGATTAATCGTTTATCGCAGATATGTCGAGCGAGTCGCCGCGAAAAGTAGATCTGTAAGAACCTTTTTTCGGTAATCAGTGAATTCCATAAACGACAGATGGATGACAAACGAACAAGGTCGACTGGACACGAGATTCGCTCGAAGATTGACTGAAGAAGCTCAGGAGGTAATGTTTCCATCGTTTGTGCTTGTATGCGAATGAAGCAATACTCTTCATGCTGAATTAGCAAACACTGATAAGAACAGTGTGCAAATAGAAGTGCTATTTAAGAACATGCGAGTTTATTTCATTCTCTCGTGACAACTACTATTGACATCAATTGGAAGTAACCAAATAAAACTATGAGAGTGTGGGTGTGGATCCTCTTTTTACCCAATCTGACACCAAAAGCAACACTCAATCGGGACAATATGGATATTTTGGCTTTGAATATGAATCATAAAAGTGTATCAAGAGTTAAGAGGAAAAATATGACTTCAAAATTAAAACTGAAATATTCACTAGTCCACATATAAATTATCAAAGATAGTTAATCATTGTACTGCTTTAAATTTAGGAACTCATGAAATTAATTTTCAAGCTTTTGATTGATCCTATGAGAAAAATCAATGTATTTTAAATCCTAATGATCGATGATCAAATGACGACTTGAACTTAATAATCGATTATAGTGCTCTTCGTCTTGATTCATGTTTATTCAGTAAAGCTAAACCAGAGAATATGATAAGAGTTCGTCAGACAAATTTAACAATGAATTCTACAAATAAATTTCTTTTGTTTTATCAGACACAAACATGTTTAAAAAGCAGGTTTTTAGTATAAAAATGTTTTATTCTGGAAATAATAAAAAAATGCAGAATAGAGAAACTAATATATTCGGACTATTTGTTGAAATTCATCACAATGTATTACTTAAAAACTAACGTATGCTAAGTTGAACGGTTGGGCCCATTTCTGATGGTTGATAAACATTAGGACGTGCTTTATATCGTTTAGTTGCTATATCAATTTCATATGTTGCTCTACGAATATAATTGATTGTTATGTTTTCTGAAGCGGGAGCATGAATATGTCCTAAGCAGACCTAGAAAAATCATAGACATTAAAATGAGAGATCTGTTTAATTATATATATATATATTTACTTGTTTTCCGAGTGTAAAACCATATGCTGCAGATGTAACAAATCCACAAAATACACCATTACGATAAATAGGTTCACCACTCCATGGCCTTCAAAGAAAATTCAAATTATACTGTTCATAAGAAAAAAATTAAAATACCATGGATCTGAATCCAAATTGTGATCTTCAAGAAGAAATTGAACAAATCTTTTTTGTATACCTTCTTTTCGTTGTTTTAATAGAGCTTCTTTGCCAATAAAATCTTTCTACAAGACAATTTAAACACATATATAAAATGGATTTCAATTCTTTTTACATCAAATGAAACATGAAATTCTCGATTTAAATGAAATGGTGTTGTTTTCTTATCGATATCATGTCCCCAAGATGGATACATGCGTTCAATTCGAAGAGTTCGTTGAGCAAAATATCTAAATTAATACAAAATTTAGAATTAATTAAAACAAATAATCTTACCCAGCATTTATAATTCCATAATCTTTACCTTGTTCCATTAACATATCATATACACATAAAGCATACTGAAAGAAAAAATAGTTAATTTATATTAAAAAAAAATAAAAAAATAAATTAATTTTACTTCTGATGGTATATAAAGCATAAAACCATCTTCACCAGTATGTGTTAATCGCATAGCATAGATATGACTAACAAAACCAACATCGATTTCCTGAAAATAGTTCAATAGTTTTGAATGATGAAAAAAATTTTTCAATATTTTTGATTTAAAAAAAGAAATATCTTATTTTTGATCTATCTTCAATCTATTCATAATGTTTTTATATACGTCTTACTTGACAAGTCATTCTTGCAAAATCATTAAAATTTTCATCACTCAATTCAGCTAATAAATATTTTGCTTTTGGTCCAATAACATTCAATGCTGTATAAAGTGATGTTACATCAGATAGAAGAACAGAACCATCTTCTGGTACATGAGATTTAAGCCATTTCATATTACGAGTAGATTGTGATGTTGGACTAACTAAAAGAAAACTAAGAACAGAAAAATCATATATATATATATATATATGTCTTTAAATAATAAAATCTTTATCTTACTGATAATCATCAAGACGTATAACAGAACAATCATTTTCATAACCACCGTGTTCATTTAACATTCCTGTATGAACAACAGTACCAACTGGTTTATCAATATTATTTGCACAAAGCATTTGTAGAAAATCCACAACACTTCGATTAGCTGATTTAAGTTCATATTTTGTAAATGATGTCATATCAATAATAGCTACACCTTTTCGACATACATTATATTCTTTTTTAACTGTATTAAACCATCGTGCTTTACCAAATGTACCTTGTTTACTTAAATCTTCAAAACCTTTGCAAAAGACAAAAAAAAACAAATACAAGAAAAAGTTCTTTTATTTCGTTAAAATACTTTTTTCGGGTTCATCTGGTTTAAAAAATAATGGACGTTCATAACCAAGTACTTCACCATAAACGGCACCAGCTGCTTGTAATTTTGGATGTAATGGTGAAACACGTAATTTTCGTCCTGTTTGATATAATGACATACCATAGGTTGGATATTTTAATGAATATTGTTTTCCTAATATCAATCATCATATGTAAATAACAGAGAAAAAGATACAAAAGGTTACATTTTCTACCTGGTATTTCTCGTAGACGATCTTCAAGAAAACGTTTATTTGTATGTAAACGCATAAAACGACGTATATCAACTGGCCATGTACTTAACTCTGTATTTCCTTTATGAATTAATTCAGCCATATATTTTCCAATACCACCAGCAAGTGCTATACCCTGTCCATTTGCACCAGATGCAACAAAATAATTATCAATCTAGAGTTTTATGTTTTTATTTAAAAAAAAGAAATAAATTTTTAGTCAAATAAATAACTAACTTCAGCTGATTCATTCATAATTAATCGGCCATCTGGTGTAAAACTATCAGCACCAGTGATCAATATTTCGTAATCACTTTCAGCAAGAATAGGAAATCGTTTTATTGCATTACTTAATATCCAATCTATTAATAATTTTCTAATAGATAATTAATTCAATAAAGATAACTTACGAAAATCGTCCCAATTATCAGGTAAAAGAGAATAATGAAATGTATCTGGAACACCATTTGAAAAAAGAGGTTTCGATTGACTTAGAAAACCACCAACTAATACACTATCATCTATTAATGGTTGAATATAAAAACGTTCGTGTGGATTATGAACAATGGGAATATTGTTTGGAAAATTTGCTACTGGTTTTGTTTTTAAACATATGTATTCTAATCAAAAATTTTTATTTAATATTTAATTTTTTCTTTTATCATATATAAATTTACAAACTTACCACATGCTAGAGTAGGAATTCTAACACTTGGTGAAGATTGAAATCCAAGTTCTCGTGCCCACTAATAAAAAGAAAAATAAATGTTTGTTTTGAATATTATTCTAAAATAAAAATGATATTACCATTCCTGTACAATTAATAAATACATCACATTTAATATCTCCTTGTGATGTTATGGCACTTGTTACACGATCATATTGTCCAGCACGTTGTTTTTCTGTAAGAATTTCTTTGACATAACAATCTTCAATAATTTTAACTCCTAAAATTTATTTATAGAATTTTAAGAATAAAAATTTCTTTTTTTTGGTTTTTCTTCACCTTTATCTATTGCTAATTGAGCAAAAGTTAAAGCTAATGGTACAGGATCAACCATACAATCATTGGGAATCCACAAACCACCCTAGAAATAAATATATTCAAATAAATGATATTTCATTGATTAATATCTATACCCAAATTTCTTGTGGAGCAATAATTGGTACTTTTTCAATTAATTTTTCTAAGTTTAATATGTCACAATTAATATCTAAGGCTTTGATTATAGAATATTGTCGTTTAAGTGTATGAAGTCGATCAGGTGTTTGAGCTATCCATAAACTACCGGTTTCATTAAAGCCTACGATGAAAAAAGAAAATTTGCATTATTAAAAAATATAAAAAAACTTTTAAATTTTACCAATATCATGTCCTTCTTTATGTAATCGTTCATATAATTGTCTTGAATATTTCATAAAACGTGTTTCAATGACTGTATCTTGTATATGAGAGACTCGTCCAGAACTTTGCCACGTTGTACCAGATGCTAATCTATTTTTATTTCAGAAAAAAAGAAAGAATCCTTATTACATAAAAAGAAGAACATTATTGAACAACTTAAACTTCGCCATAGACTTTCAGACACTATCGAATGCCTCATTCAGTCATATATGGATATGTTAAACACAATAATTAGATGTATGTATTGTGTTTAAAATAGAAAAATACTATTGAAAATCACTGCGACGAAATTTATGTTTCCTACATTTTTATTACCTTGCTTTTTCAATAAGTACAACATCTTTAACACCAATTTCACTTAAATGATAAGCTATTGATTGACCAATAATACCACCACCAGCAATAAGTACATGACATGATGAAGGAAGTTTTTGTGTTAATAATAATGTTGGAGTTGAATGAGTATGATGAGGAACAGTTGGAGATTCATGTTGATCATATGATACTAGACGATGAGAAATATAGGACAAGCGATAATGAGTATTGACCTTTAAAAAATGTTGTCCATAAGAAAATAATTTATGCTGCAGCATGTAAGCTGAGAAGCATCTGAAAGAAAAGGAATCTAAATTAGAAAATTATAATTTATAAAGATTTATAATGTTAATTATTTTGTATGGATAATGATTATGATTAATATTCAGGTTTTTCATCGGAATTTCATATTCGTTTTTTGTTTTGTTTATATTCGATTTGAATTAAGAAGAAGAAGAAAAAGAACAACTCTTCAGTACTTTGAAGTACAATACTCTCACTGATACTTCCTGATACTTCAAAATACTTAAGAAGTACTTTTCTTCCTTTTGATTTGAAGCATCATATTTTTCTAAATTTGACATGATTTTTATTGAATAAAATATTACTATAGTAAGAAAAAACAGACAAAATTTTAAATAATGAATATTTTTTCTTGAAATAAATAATAGAAAGAACGAATATTCGTATCTATTTTCTTTGTACTTTATTGCCTAATGAACTACCAATAAGAAATACATTTTCATAACAATAAAGCATATTTATTATATATCTGATGTGGTAGTATAACTAAATATCAAAAGTAAATTTTATTTGTTGAGAAAATCAACGAAATAATTTAATAGCATTAAAAATCATTTATAGAACTATGAAGATTTAAATTAATTTTACTACATTATCATTCGAATAAGACTGTTGATTTTAGTTTTTTTTTCTTCAAAGTATTAAAACAAGATACTATTTTTGCTTCTTTACTAAAAAAAAACCAAAATGTATTATGCATGCTGTGAGAAAATATATGATAAATAAGTTTCTGCTTTTGTAATATTTCTAGGCAAGTAACAGCTTGATTATAGGAAACAATCAGATGTCCATGATCCATAAAAACTCGAAAAAAAAAGAAGAATTCATGAATGAATATAAGACATTAAAGAAAAATTATATATAATAATTATAACTAAGACTTATGATTTTCCAATATCGAACAAAATTGATTTGTTCAATCATTGAAAAATCAATATCAATGATTATTTCTTAGTAAATTTCGGCAAATTCAACAAAGGATTCATGAGAATCATAGATTCTTAAATCCATATTGTTCTTTATTTTCTTATTTTTACTTCAAATATAGATAATCTGATAGCATTAAGGTACTTTTTTTAAATTTTTTTCTTGTAATTCTAATCGTACTCTCTGTAAACAGTATTTATCATAAAAATTAAAGATATTAAAATTATTTTTGCAATTCTATTGTCAATATAGCTCAGTGATAGACTGTCAAATGAATTAAACGAATTTTCTTTCTTGTAAACATTAACAGATGTTTTCTCAATGAGTGGCATCTATATATAATTTTGATACAATAAATAGATCCAAAATATTTTTGTATGTTATAGAAGACAATTGATAAAAGAATCATAATTATCATATATTTACATGAGGGTGTCAATATATTGTCTAGAATTATTTTGACGGAAAATATAGAGAGCAATACAAGTCAAGTGTTATCGGTTTATAGCACATATTTATTAAAACTTACTTGTAATAAGAAGTATTTCATTGAATTATAAAATAAATTTAGATTTTTTCAATATCTAAATTATCGTATATAGTTCCTTAGTTTAAAGCTACTTATCAAATGCATAACTAAAGCTGAATTTAGTAAGAGAATATGAGTCATTCATGATATAATAGTATACCATAGTTAGTAGTGTAATATAGTGACATAATAGTAAATAAACAATATTCTAATAGTATAATTATTGAATTATATTATATAAATTTTATTTTAATAAAAATATTTAATAAGATTTTTTCAAGAAAAATAATTTATTATTTATATATATATATATATTTAACTAAAACTACTAGCGCTCTACTTTAATTTTTTGGTTTTTTTTTTCATTGGTAAGTTTTATTCAAACCAATGATGATGATAATATAAGAAAGAATATTTCATTTTCTTACACAAGAACAAGAACATATATATGGATGAAGAATTAACTGTATTAAAATCAATTTATTTGGATGATTTAATTATCAATTATGATAAAGAAACATCCATTTGTATAACAATTCATTCGAATGGTGATGAAAATGATTTTGATCCTGATAAACGTTTTTTATGTATAACATTAATTGCTCAATTACCATCAACATATCCTGATATTGATTCACCTAAAATAACACTTTGTCGTTCACGTGGTTTAACTGATAAACAATTAGATGAATTAAATTCATCAATATGTTTATGTCTTGAATTAAATTCTGGTTCATGTGTACTTTATGATTGTATTGAATTAATACGTTCAAAATTATCATTATATGAATTACCAGATGAAATTTGTGCTATATGTTTAACATTAATTAATAATCGATATGATATAATAAAAACAAATTGTCATCATTTTTATCATAAAAATTGTCTTGGATCATATGTAAATTTAAAAAAAATTGAATTAGAAGAAAAATATCAAGAAGCAATTAAATGTAAATTTGCTATTGAAAAAGATTTTCGTAATGATATTGAAGATCCTGTATGTCGACAAATATTATCAAGTAATATTATTGAACAATTACCATTATCATCATTATCATCATCAAATGAAATAATTAATAATAATAATGAAGAAAATCAAGAATTAATTAGAAATCTTTCATCAAATATAAGACAATGGCAAGAAAAAACTCATGCACTTTTTCAACAACAAAAAGAAAAAGGAGGAATTATTGATCTTGATAAAAATCAAGATATAATAATTATTTAATTTTTTTGTGAATAGTAAGGTTATCTATAAGTAATAATTTCCCATTGATTTCATAATGAACTTGCATATATATATATCTGATAAGTCAAGATAATTCTACTTGGAATTAATTATGAATTTATCCCTTTTCAAAAAAAAAAACAAAAAAATCGAAATTAAGATAAAATGTACGAAAAAATAGTTTGTGGTCTTATCTTTTAAAAACGATAATGATTTTTTTTTTATTATGAAAAATCTTTTCGAATTGTATATTCCGGAATTCTCGATTTTCTGTTTGAAAGAGAACGTACACAGTTGTTATTCTTATTCTTCACATAAAGAAGAAAGGATTTAAAAAAAAAAGGCAAGTTCTGCAATCCGACATGATCTTTTAAATTGAACAAAAAAAATACAATTAAATCTATAGAATGGAGATCCATAGAGAATTTTTTGATCCTTTTGTTATTGGATATAGTTCGAACATGTGTGTTGATATGAAGGTGAAAATTTGGAGTAAGATTAATTTTTAACGGTGAACTTAAATATATTGTAACACTATTTATCTATTATATCTTCATTTATTAGTATTTTTTTTTCTATGGATAGATCCATTTTTTTGTTTTTCTACTTAGAATTGTTACTTATATATAACCTTTGCATTCTCTAAAAATGAATAATATATATTTTTTATGTCATTTATTTTGTTTTTTTTTTTGGGAATTTTAGATTTGATAAAAACAAAATATTATGTCGAAAGATTCAAATATTCTTTCAATATGGGGAAATAAAGAATCAATGAATTTAAATTCATTAGTACTTAATAATATTTTGGCATCACAATATTTTAAAGTTAATTTATATGAAAAAAAAACTTATCATGAAGTTGTCGATGAAATTTATTATCAAGTATAATCTTATAATATAGATTGACTCAATCTTTTATTTTTATTATGAATTTATATTTTGTTTAGGTTAAACATTTGGAACCATGGGAAAGAGGTAGTCGAAAAACATCTGGATTAACTGGCATGTGTGGAGGAGTATGTAAAACATATTTTCTTTTTTCATATAGATTGAAAAACTCAAAACAAAACGTTACATTATATATGTACGAACAATATCATTGATGAAGAAGTCTTGTCATACGATTAATTAGTTTTCAAATTATTAGATAAATTCTATTAAGATCAGAGAAAGAGTTAAATAATTCATACCTAAAGTTAAAAAATATGTTTTTTGTTAATTTTTCAACTAAAAAACTATATGATCATCTTTAAGTCACTTTCAGGTTTGAATTCTATGAAAGTTAACAGTCAAATATTCTACATTGAAGACTACATAATGTCAGAATTTAAAATATTTTCAAATGTAATACTTTTTGTTAAGATTAATATCTTACATATCGAACAGCTAAAAAAAGATGAAATATATGTTATACAATACTTTATCTATGTGTTTTCAGCTTAGAATGTTGAACTATTTATTTCTATACAGAATTATTCTATATAGATTTGTAGAGAGTCAAATGAAGAAACTTTTAGGAAAATATTCAAATCGAAATAATAATTATTGACAAAAATTTGCATGTAAATTTTGAAAAACAATCTTAATGATGATTTCAAAGAAAATATAACATAGTCTCAATAAAATCTATCTATTTAGGTACGTGGCGTTGGTGGAGGTGGTATTGTATCAACAGCATTTTGTTTATTGTACAAATTATATACATTAAAATTAACAAGAAAACAAGCTATTAGTTTAACTATTCATACAGATTCACCATATATTCGTGCACTTGGTTTTATGTATATTCGGTATGTTAAGAATTGTATTTTTATGTAAATTGAATTATTACTTTTTTTTTTCTTCTGTTAAAGATATACTCAACCACCAAATGAATTATTTGAATGGTTTGAAGAATATCTTGATGATCCAGAAGTAAGTGAGTAAATTCTAATAAAAGAAAACTTACTATGATGAATCTTTGTTTTTTTTTTTTTTGATTAGACATTAGATGTAAAAGCTGGTGGTGGTTGTATTATGTCAATAGGTCAAATGCTTCGTCAATGGTTAACACAAATTGAGTATGTGTATTTTATTTTGAATTTTTTTTTTAAATAACGACAATTCTTTCTAGATGGTTTGATACATTATTTCCTCGTATACCGGTTCCAGCTCAAAAAGAAATCATGGAAAAATTACATAAACATGGACCATATAAACAAAATAATTATGATACATATTCAAGGTATGTGAATTGGGAAAGTAAGCAAGAATAATTAATTTATTTCAAGATCAATAATTATATCTAGATTTTTTTTTTCTTCTCATTTTTAATACCATATAGTTATGACAATGATGTCGAACAACAAAATATGACATCATCAAATGCTATTGATATGCCTGAAACATTTGGTAATATAGCCTCATCATCAACTGATCGTAATGGTTATCATCATCATGTATCAACCGATTCATATCAAAATAAAAAATATCGGTAAAAAAAAAATAAACTGGAGAACTCAAAATTGATAAAATTTACTTTCTCTCTTTGTTTTAGATCATCTCGTGATAATCGTTCTCGATCACGTTCACATGATCGATATAGATCACATAAACATCATCATCATCATCATTATGATCATCGACGACGAAGTTCATCTCGTGATGATCGACGACGACGACATCATCGATCTCGATCACCAGCAATATCGGATACTCGTGCACGTCGTGATCGTTCATGAAAAAAAAAACAAACAATCATAGAACTATAGAAACTACATATATACATTT